GAAACCAACGCATGCATGGGGAGAACACGCAACTCCATGCAGAAAGGCTGCAGCTGAGTTTCAAACCTGCAACCTTCATGCTGCGAGGCAACAGTGCTAACAACTGCACCACCATGCAGCCCATTATGGTCCTCAGCTCATTTTAAGCAGAAATCACGCTTGCATGGTGACCCAGTCACCTCAGAATTCAAAAAGGCAATCAAGTTATTAGTTCAACACAAACTATTTGAAATCTGCCAGTTATCCTTCCACAACAATTTACACCATTTTCATAAAGCTGGCACCTCAAGGAAAAAAGAAATTAAATGCAGTATCACCTTTATCTGCTCATAAACATTTTGATCATAAGCTCATTTTAACTTGTTTTAAAATAGAACAACAGCATGCCAAAGCACAAATATCCAGTTAAACATTTTAGTGCTACATAAACATTAAGAAATCTTGACTTTGACTGTGCAAACTGGTGTACAACATCTTTAAAATCAAAGCCACCAAAAAGTTCATGTCCAATAGCTACAATAGTAAGTGCAGAGCTGTGCCTGTGACACAATTTCTCTGTAGAAGAAAAGATAAAAATACTACAAAACCTGGCAAAACACACTATTTTAATCCTAAATAATGAGGAAGTGCATGTTTGCTTTCATTTGGCACCTTATTCTGGCTTTTTTCTGGACTTTGACTGTGCAAACTGGTGTACAATATCTTCAAAATCAAGGCCACTAACAAGTTCATGTTCAATGGCGAAGAGAGAAAGTGCAGAGAGCCGAGTCTGTGACATTGTGGTCCTCAGCTCATTTTTAACCCATTTCAAAACAGAAAATGACCTCTCACCCTCACAGTTGGACACAGGTAAGGTTAAAAACAATCTTAGTGCTACATAAACATTCGGAAATGTTGTCTTAAGTCCATGTCTGTCAAGAGCTTGCAGCAGCTGTACAGGTGAAGTCTCATGCCGCACTAAGTGCTTGAACTGAATAAGTTCATCTGACAAGGAACTATCCAGATCTGTTGGATAAGTCGAGCTCAGCTTAGCAGCTCTAACATGCACATCACAATCATCACAGTCCCTCTCAAATAAAACCTCAAAGACGTCACGTCACACACGTGTGTGTAGGCTTCTATGAGCTTGGATGAGCATGAATAAAGTCTGTCAATGATGACATAATTTGTTTCAACTTTAAATTTCTGACTGCTTTCATTAAAAGCTACTTCGCTGTCATCAGCAGACTCATCTGCAAATCTCTTTCTTTTTCTCACACGCTGAGTATCGAACTGGTAGTTTTGTGTCACACTGACTGCGCGTGCTGACTCTTCGTGCTCTGAAAACAGTTCTCGTAGATTGCCAACATATGAAAGCAGTGAGCGCAAAAGGCCAAGAGCAGTAGCTAAATCCATGTCACTTTTTTGGAGTTGGTCACTTGTTGCCTTAAATCTATGCAGTACCCGGTCCCACAACACACACATTATTACTGTCTCCAGTTTATCAAGTTTTGAGACCAATGCAGCAGCTTCGAGTTCAGTTTGTGCTTTCTCATCATAGTCTAAGGATTTTTTGGCTAACATATCTTTAATTGACCTGTAATTTACTTTGAGAGCTTTTGTGGAGTCTGCTCTGCAGTTCCATCGGGTGGTGCTGAGGGATTTAAAAGTGTATTTAATGTTATGTTTACTGTCTTCCAGCGATGTGTTGATGCACTACAAAATCTATACAGAGACTGCAGCAGTTCAAAAAAAGAGTTAACCTCCTCACAGCAATTATCAATGCAGTTAACACCTACGAGGTTCAGAGAATGGGCAGCACACGGTGTATAACGAATTTGTGGGTTTTGTTTTTTCAAGTGCGCTTGGAGCCCACTGTATTTGCAGCCATGTTGCCAGCATTATCGTAGCTTTGGCCACGACAGTTTGACAAGTCTAACCCCAAATGACACACCATTTCAATCACAGATTCAGCTAGGCTGACACCTGTGTGGCTGTGGATGGGCTCAAACCCAAGGAATCTTTCCACTACTCTGCCATCTGCACTGACAAAACGAAAAACAAATGTGAGCTGATCCACATGTGCTAAATCTGGTGTTGAATCAACGATTACAGAGAAATATTTTGCACGTTTGAGTTCCTCTGCAATCACTTGCTTAGTTTTTTCACCCATTAATGAAACAAATTCTTTGCACACAGTTGATGACAAGTAAGATGGCTTATCCCTACCCTTATTTCCATGTTTCTCAAGGTGCTCCTTTAACCCTTACCCAACGTTTAAATTTTCTAACGTTAATGTCATTCGAGCACAAAAAAATGCTTTAATTTTGGGTCAGAGTTAAAAAGGGGTCAAACTCTGCTATGAGTTCAAGCAGTCCCAAATAGTTCCAATTGTGCGCAGATGCACTTCTGATGTCCTTTTCCTTTTTTAATTTCCGTTTCGCGTCGCCACTTACCTTATCCATGTCTGGTGATTTTTTTCAGTTGTAGCAACGCCTGACGCCACATAACCCGCTCGGCGTAACTTTGCCCCACCTCGTGTGGACTGACCAATGAGGAGAGGGTCTTAACTTGAGGCCCTCTCTTCATTGGTCAGTCTGCATGAGACGGACTCTCAACCGGCGCGCTCTCAACTGACGTTCAAAGTCATAGGCAGCGAAGCGTTTGTGCAGCGCAAAAGCCAGGGGGGACAGTTTGTTTAATATATAGCAGGAGATTACAGATACAGCATTTTGCTCGTGCTCTTGCTGCCCTGGGCCTGGGCCCTTTAGAGTTCACGGACCCCTGGGCAATTGCCCAGTTGCCCGTATGGTTAATCCGGCCTTAACTACAATTATGATGTTATCAGCACAAAATTTCAGGTGCTTAATAGAAATCCAAACCTCAATAGATATTAACTTGAAAATCTGGAAGGCGGGGCTTATTTTTTGAGATGGCGCCCCCTAGGTCCATTAAAATGTCAGCCCCAAGTCATGCTTTGACTGAGGATTGTGAAATTTTGCACACTCATGTATTGTCTTAGGACCTACAAAAAACTCTCTTGGAGCCATGCTCCATATCCCACAGGAAGTCAGCCATATTGGTCCAAGTACGCCATATGTAATTTTTACACACGGTACATCAACTCCACAGCGCCCTTTTGATCTATCGCCTATATACTTCTGCTGAATATTCTCAAGACAGTCGGAAAAACAACCTATGGATTTTACAAAAGTCGAACGGTGTGGGCGTGGCTAAGCCTCAAACATTGACCTGTCACCACACCATGCTTTAGTCTCAAAGCTTCTAAATTGACCCCTTTAACCCAATCAACATGAATCACTGGCAAATAGCAGTAGACATGTTGGGGTCACTTGATGTCCAGTACTGGCAGGATTTTAAAAAAGGCGGGGCTTTGGGGGCATTGCAAAATTTGACAGTACGCCATGGAAATACGTTTGCCTCTCATTCAAACAATTCTGATGTTATCGGTGCAAAGTTTCAGGTGCTTGATAGAAATCCAAACCTCAATAGATATTAACCTGAAAATCTGGTAGGTGGGGCTTATTTTTTGAGATAGTGCCCCCTAGGTCCATTAAAAATGTCAGCCCCAAGTCATGCTTTGACTAAGGATTGTGAAATTTTGTACACATATGTAGTGTGTCTGGGCCTACAAAGAATTCTCTTGGAGCCGTGCTCCATATCCGACAGGAAGTCAGCCATTTTGTTCCAATTACGCTACAGAGTCTCTTTCGAAGCTGGAATATTTTGCTAATGTAAAACATTTTTTGTGGGAACTGTTGGCAGGCTAGGAAGAAAGTTTGAGTCAGATTGAGGTGAAAGCTCAGTGATTGCAGTTAAATGCACGTTGGGGCGTTTAGTGTGCATGGGTGCTCGTGCGCCACCGGTTGCAGGGCGGTGGGTTGGGAGAGCGTCAGGGATGGAGTGGAGGGGGTGTGGACGGCGGGCGAGCAACTTCGCTGCGAAGGCTGATCGACGCTGCTTGCAGCTTTAATTTCTGATGATAATCAGTCACTGAGTATTGATCCACTCTGGAACATATTTCTGGTTAAACACATGAATGAGGTAACGAAGCCACAGTTCCAGTAAAGTAAAACCTTGTGTGTGCCTCCTAAAGTCCACGCACCTGAGATTACTCGGTGAATCCCACACTCGTTATGAAATGTGCGGACAGTAAACAATAGCTGTGAAACAAAGTAAAACAGGAACAAAACTAATGCATTCTACAGATATCAGGCTGAAACGGAGGAAGCTGGGAAATCATTTGTTTGCACTTGAACAGATAAAAAGCATTTCCCAGAACAGGCTGGTACTGGAATACTGAAAGGGGCTACAGCTGCAGGATGCAGTTAGACGGCTTGGTATCTGAAGCCCATAATAAAGACAATAGCTACTTCATTGTCACAACGAAAAGCAAGAAGGTAAAATCCAATCAATAGTAATTATATTATTGAGCAACATTCAGGGATAACGATTAAAGGGAGGAACGTTTTCATTGTGAAATAACAGTTACATTTATTTGAATAAAATTTAAGGATTTATGGCTTTGTCTAAAACTGAGAAGTGCCCACATGGGTAGATGGACTATTGTTTCATAGCTACACTGGCCCTGTTATATTTACCAACAGATTATTTATAATCATGTAAATCTCACCATTATGTAAAAGGCTGGACGTGTTTTTGTGGCCTGAATGCACACAAATGCAGCAACATGTGATCCATGTGAGATTTTTCACACCTGAGTTCACTGACAGGACAACAATAGTTTTTACAGCACAAGGTTTATGTGAGTAAAGCAGCGATTAGCCAAAGTAAATAAACATTCACAAGTGTGCACAATTACACTGCAGATGCTAAATTGACTACAATGACTCTGGAAAGTGTGTGTGTATGCTTGTGTGTGTGTGCTTGTGTGTGTGTGCTTGTGTGCGTGTGTGTGTATGTGTGTGTGTGTGTGTGTGTGTGTGTGTGTGTGTGTGTGTGTGTGTGTGTGTGTGTGTAGGGTAAGGATGAGCTCTTACCATGGAGAGTGCTGTCTGGGTCTGCTGTAGGAGGGGCTCAGGCAGCAGAGAGATGTGGACACATTCAGGGATTGTAACTGTGCCTCCATCTAGGTCAGCGATGATCACATCCAACTGAAAACGAAAACACACACACACACACACACACACACACACACACACACACACACACACACACACACACACACACAGGTCATTTCTCTGGAATTTTTGGTAAAAAATAGAGCAGTGAAAGCAAGAGTTGAGACCATGGTTGAGACAAAGGCTGTCGTTTCTCTCAGCAGCTGCTTCATTATATGATGTCGGCCACCAAACAAAAACCTCGATGACCTTTGACCTCGACAACTGTCCTTAACTGCTAACAACTATGTGACTATTGTACTGACTGCAGTATATTGTTGTAGGTCAAGAAAACCATCCCATCAGGATGACAAAAGTCATACAACTATAACAAAAAGCCTCCACTAAACCTTTTACAGGCCATAACTATCATTTACTCTACAAGAGCCTTATTTTAGCGTCTTAGGAATCTAAACGGTTAGCAGGTCACATGCAGCCCGACAACAGCAGGGACGATATAAAAGGGACAGCTGATTGGTTGTCTAACAGCTTACATGAATCTGGCTGCAGTAATCAAAGCCCACATCACAACAGCAACATCACAGGGTTTCTTCTCTTTCTGCTTTAGTCCAACAACCCTTAAACACCGGGATTACAGCTGGTTTGTACAGGGGTCATATTTCTCCTGTACAGGTAGAAATCAGCAGCAGGTGTTTATCCTGCACACAGTGGTTTCTCTGAGGCTACCGCTTGTTTGGTTTGCGTGACCCTCCTCTGGAGCCGTCATCTGGTCGTTAAGATAGGTGTCAGTAGACAACACACTCAGCTGCTTCAGGCTGTGTCTCTTAGGAAGGGCAGCTCACAACCTCTGATAAAACCACTGGATCAGGAAATACACAACGTGGTTTAAAGAGGTCCTTCACTGAGAAACAATTTTTTACTTATCTTTGAAACAGATGGGTCATTCTGAGTTTAACATGCAGGCTGAAGGTCAAATTGTGTCCTACACCTATTTCCTGCATTAGCTTCCGATACAAAAGAGACAGTGAAACGCTGGGATCTGAAAAGCCTGACTGTTCTAAGTCAAGCAGCTCCACAACACAACAGATCTCCTTCGGGCTTGTGATATTTGTGGAGATAAAACGGCAACACTGGAAAACAAACGGAGTCAATGGTAGAGTCCAAATATAAGGAAATAAGACTCCAAATCCTGTCAGCCATTTTCTCCTCCAGCTGACTTCTCCATGCTGAAACAGGCGCATCTTCAACCATGTATTCCTTTAGTCATTGACAATGTAGCGTTATGAATATGCAGCAACAACAACGTCACCTAAAATAAAAACCAGAACTTACCAGTTCTTGAGTCTCAGAGCGGAAGAAAGAATTGACGCCAATGATGAAGGGGGTGGGGGTGCTCAGGACCTCCAGGAGTTTTCCAGGTAAAATGGGAACGTAGGTAAAGCTGAGGAGACAAACAACAAATGGAAAATCTTTACACGTGCAGAGAAAACTCACAGCACATCAAAGACATAGAGGAGAAGGATCACACCTGTATTTGAGGGGGAACATTATGGCCAGCAGTCCTCGACAGGCGTCCGTGAGTCTCTGGTAGCTGCTGGACAGAAACAAGATCTTGTGCTCCGTCAGGGCAGCACAGAACAGATACAACACGTTCACGATACCTGAGGAGAGAACAAGACCCATGACATGCATACATGTTTGAATTTGCTGTAAAACTGCTAATGATTAGAGTCAAAACAAATATGATCGTAGTTCGTACCAAGCTGTCGGAATAGCTGTGCCACACTGCAGCCGCTGACAGGAAGCGAGTCATTGATAGGTGTCTGGATAACCTGCCGGTCGCCAGCTCCTAGCGTTATCGTTCTCTGTAGATTTGGAGACAGGGGCAGAAAAGATGGATTAAAAAAAGCTAAATGAATAAATCAGGGTTTGACAAGCTGGTTTAATCCCAATCATGCGTGTCAGGAGAGCAGGGTGAATCAGAGACAGAGAGGTGGAGAACCCGAGGAGCTTAGCAGCAACATGACAAATCAAACCCAAGCCATTCCAGCTGATCAGGACGTGAATGAGGCTGCAAAGAACACCATGCCAATGACCTCACAGCCAAACACCAGCGACACTAACACGTCATGAAGTCTTTACAAGGAATTATAAAACAACGTGACAGCTGTCAGGTGCTGAAAGTCGCAGCTGGTGTTTAGTTACTAACGAGACAATAGAAAGTGTTTCCAGGTGTAAAAAAAAACCTCTCCAACCTTTAGTTCAACTAAGACTAAAAAGTACAAAATGTAGGTTTTTTTAGGTGCATAGATGAAGTTGATTAAAATATTTTAAAGTACATCCATGAATGTGTTCAATTCCTTTATTACAGACAAAATCACTTGTTGAACTGAACATATCGATTTACTAATCGATCTACATCCCTTCACCTATATTCAGGAACTGTGAATAATGACTGAGAGAATGAGATCTTGAATATGCTGGGCTCAGCCTTAGAGTTAGGGGGAGGAGCTGGGACATCAGGGAGGGACTCTGAGTAGAGCTGCTGCACCTCTACATTGAGAGGAGCCAGCTGAGGTGGTTCGGTGGTGAGGATGCCTCATGAAGGCCTCCCACAGGAGGTCTTTCAGGTATAACCTGCTTGTAGGAAGCTCCCAGGTCAACCCAGGACATGCTAGAGGGATTACATCTCTGGGCTGGAAACACCTTGGGGTCCCATTTGGAGAAGCTGGTGGAGGCAGCCGAGACAGTTGCAGCTTTCCTGCTAGGGCTGCTGTCGCTACGACCCTGACCCGGATACATGGACACTACACAACAAGAAAATGATGAAATACCCACCGCTGTGCACAAGAGACCAAAGCAGTAAATACTGACAGTCAACAGCAACTAATTCAGAGGAGGATTTCGATGATTAGGTTATAAAAACTTTAAATCAACAAAGCAGGATGAGAGAAAAGGTACTGTTAAGACTTAACCTGAGACAGATCAAGACATAAACCAGCAGAGTAGACATGATTGGTCAGATATCTTTGATATCAAATACAGGCCATTTACCATATTTTGGGTCAAAATCTTAGTTTAAAATGAAGACAGAACCCAAATATCCACCCTTGAATCCAAAGATGAAGCCAGTGGTTGTGAAGGTTTCCAGAAGAAAGTGCAGCCTAATGTCATGCACTTGAAAGCAGCACCGATAGTGTCGGCCAGAACAGATCAGCTATTCAACTCTGTGATCCAACATCTGATCGTTTAGATGCTTTAATACAACTCTACAGTTATCGCTAGTTACTAAACCACAGAAAACATGAGGCTGGCAGGTATGTGCCAACATAAATTCAGTGAAGGTGATAATGTGCATTTCTGCTTTCACTGTGGATTTCCTCCTCTAGGTTAATTGTTTTAAGGTTGCTCCTTTTGCAAAATAGAAATGACATCTGCTTCCTTCTGAGGGCTTTTGGTCTTAACAGTGAATGAAGTCAACTAAAAGTGTTTGTCAAATGTCTGCTATGATGCATGTTAAGATCAGATGTTGATCACAGATTTAAAAGCATCTTGATTAGTTCTCCTACAGGAGCGGTGCGTGAAATGAGTGGAGCAAAGGAAGCTGAAAAAGCTGATTGGTGGTGACAGGTGGTAAAATGTTGTCAGGCTGGCATACCAGACTCTCCTCTCTTTCCTCTGGGCTTGGCTAGACAAACACCCAGCAGACAGACAAACACACACACAAACACAAACACACACACACACCGCAGGATAAATCAAAGATTAGAAACGGCACCGAGGGCCAACATGAGTCACATCAGCAGGGCCAAACAGACATACTGCACAAACGTTAATATCAGAAATATGAATTGTAAGATGGAGAATTAAAAATATGATGAGGCAACATTAAATGTGACACAAGCAAGCAAATCTGGCAACACATCAGCAACAAGAAATGATGAATTACTTCAACTAAAAGTAAAACATACAGAACTTGAAAATGGGACGTAAATGACTCGGCTACAAACAAATAGCATTTTAGCTCCTTATCTGCAATTATTGGTAGTTTTGCATTTGCAAAGACTGGCTGATACTAGCTGTGGCTACCAACTTGAACTGGGCATCCACACAGGGAATCCTGAAATAGGGGTGCTAGATATTGGCTTTTTTACCGATGTCCGATATACCGATATTTTCTGACTCTAAATTTCCGACACCAACATATGCGGTGTCCCCGTCATGAAAAAAGAAAATCTAAAATATTTTGGGTTACTAACACCTATCATGCATGCTTAAATTTGAAACATTTTCTGTGCAAAATGATAACTACTTCAATTTAAGTTAGTAAAATGGATAGTACCATAATGACTTTCTCCACCAGCAGCTGATTCTCATTCTCCCTAAATGTGACGCTAAGATGCGAGTATTAGGAAAGGCAGCTTTATTTGGCCTATTAAGCATATTTCATACACAGGAACAACTCAATGTATTAGTAATGTACTTTTTCTTTTTCTGTATATTGCAGAGACGGTGATCAAACATGTACAGGTGCTGGCCAGTAAATTAGAATATCATCAAAAGGTTGAAAATATTTCAGTAATTCCATTCAAAACGTGAAACTTGTACATTATATTCATGCAATGCACACAGACCAATGTATTTCCAATGTTCATTACATTTAAATTTGATATTCATAAGTGACAACTAATGAAAACTCCAAATTTGGTATCTCAAAAAATTAGAATACCGTAAATCCTCCAATACAGGCCGGTATTCAATTAAAGGCCGGGTCTCCAATTGTGGCCGGTGTCAAAGCCAGTAGAGGTAAATATTGGCCGGTCTCTTATTGTGGCCGGGTGGAATGTAGTAACAAGCAAGTATGAGCGTCCCAGCGGCAGGGTTATAGTCCCCAAATGAACCAGCAGGAGGCAGTAGAGGTTCAAGCAGACCTTTATTAGGCTTTTTCTTCAACGCTTTGTAACGCTACAGACACAATCCTCTATCACGCTCCTACCACACAGAGTCACGGTGTCAGTTAACCATGCTAATTCAACCCACTCCACAGAACACACATCAACTTCCCTGTGGCTTACATAACACTCACACAACACGCAAATCAGCACATAGGAACTAGCAGAACGATAGGAAACACATATAACCCAATACCCAGAAAGCACCTGGCTTACAACCCCAGCCAGGTCATTACACTGTCAAGTTCAAAGAGAACGTGCTGATTATGCTGCAGAACACTCTGGAGAGCAGCAGTAGGGGGTGTATGAACTAGTCAACTTCACTATAGTGACTTTTTATGCCTGTCGTCGACTAGTCGCTGTCACGTGATAATGACCGGCAAGATGCAGCCCTCGGAAAAGACAGCAGTCTGCTGTCAGCAGGTGACAAGCTCCTGCGCTCGGGGGTGGGGGGTGGGGGCAACGCGCTGTGCCAGACCGTAGGTACTGACACGCGATCGTTCATGTTGGTTCATTTCCTTTAATGTTTTCTGTCTTTTATTTGCGCCTGATGCGTTTGCTGCATGCTGTGGAGCGGGGCGCTGCGCGCATCACCTTGTCCTCCGACGCACTGATCACTGATACGGCCGACAAACAGCGAGCACTCCGCTGTTTTTGCGGTCAGTAGATCTTTTAGAACTGCAGTTCAAAGGTAACTCATGAGGTGAATATATATGAACCCAGGTAGCAGTTTTTCTTTAGGATTGAGAGGAGATGCAGGAAGATAATAAACAGACAGGACAGAAAAATAGTCAAATAAAAACAAGTTAGTTTTTGTACCTGGTGGTTGCAACAAACAGCCACCATTGAAGGTCATCAGAAGTGAGGAACAGAAAATGAAATAATTATTTTAATGTTTAGAGCAGCAGGAACTCCGAGAGGCTGCAGGCGCATCAGTGAGATTGCGGCCGCTGCGCAGGGGGAGGGGGGAGAGGGCTAAAGCAGGGGGAGGGGGGAGAGGGCTAAAGCAGGGGGAGGGGGGAGATGGCTGAAGCAGAAACTACTGTTGTTAAAAGAAATGTGTTTAACTTTGAAAATGTGGGCGCAATTTTAATTATCAAAAACTCCAAGGAACATTAGTTCATTTTGCTCAAATTGAAATAGAGGCCTGCCTCTAATACTGGCCCTCCTTCCAATAAAGGCCTGGAGCTTGATGAGCTTGAGTCAAATAGAGGCCCGGGCCTGTATTAGAGGATTTACGGTATTCTGAAAAGGCTGAATATAGAAGACACCTGCTGCCACTCTAATCAGCTGATTTACTCAAAACACCTGCAAAGGCCTTTAAAAGGTCCCTCAGTCTTGTTTTGAAGGCACCACAATCATGGGGAAGACTTCTGACTTAACAGCTGTCCAAAAGACAATCATTGACACCTTGCACAAGGAGGGCAAGACACAAAAGGTGATTGCTAAAGAAGCTGGCTGTTCGCAGAGCTCTGTGTCCAAGCACATTAACAGACAGGCGAAGGGACGGAAAAAATGTGGTAGAAAAAAGTGTACAAGCTCTAGGGATAACCGCACCCTGCAGAGAATTGTGACGACAAACCCATTCAAAAATGTGGGGGAGATCCACAAAGAGTGGACTGCAGCTGGAGTCAGCGCTTCAAGAACCACCACGAGGAGACTCATGAAAGACATGGGATTCAGGTGTCGCATTCCGTGTGTCAAGCCACTCTTGAACAAGAAACAGCGCAAGAAGCGTCTCGCCTGGGCCAAGGACAAAAAGGACTGGACTGATGCTGAGTGGTCCAAAGTTATGTTTTCTGATGAAAGCAAGTTCTGCATTTCCTTTGGAAATCAAGGACCCAGAGTCTGGAGGAAGAGCGGAGAAGCACAGAATCCACGTTGCATGAGGTCCAGTGTAAAGTTTCCACCGTCAGTGATGGTGTGGGGTGCCATGTCATCTGCCGGTGTTGGCCCACTCTGTTTCCTGAGGTCCAGGGTCAATGCAGCCGTCTACCAGGAAGTTTTAGAGCACTTCATGCTTCCTGCTGCTGACCAACTTTATGGGGATGCAGACTTCACCTTTCAACAGGACTTGGCACCTGCACACAGTGCCAAAACCACCAGCACCTGGTTCAAGGACCATGGTATCCCTGTCCTTGATTGGCCAGCAAACTCGCCTGACCTTAACCCCATAGAAAATCTATGGGGTATTGTGAAGCGGAGGATGCAATACGCTAGACCCAACAATGCAGAGGAGCTGAAGACGACTATCAGAGCAACCTGGGCTCTCATAACACCTGAGCAGTGCCACAGACTGATCGAGTCCATGCCACGCCGCATTACTGCAGTTATTGAGGCAAAAGGAGCCCCGACTAAGTATTGAGTGCTATACATGCACATTCTTTTCATGTTCATTCTTTTCAGTTGGCCAACATTAGAGAAACAAACATTTTTTCATTGGCCTTTAGAATATTCTAATTTTCTGAGATACCAGATTTGATGTTTTCATTGGTTGTCACCTATAAATATCAAATTTAAATGTAATGAACATTGGAAATACATTGGTCTGTGTGCATTGCATGAATATAATGTACAAGTTTCACGTTTTGAATGGAATTACTGAAATATCTTCAACCTTTAGATGATATTCTAATTTACTGGCCAGCACTTGTATAAAGATCTTCAGATGAGAGAAGCAAGCCTCCGGTGAAGATTCTTGTTTTGTTTCAGCGGTTTGCTAACCGTCTAGCTACACATAGCTGTGTGTTGAGGACAGCATGCTACACAAAGCAAATTTCTACCTCACAAGTTGTGCCAAATAAACTAAAACAGTAGGGATGTTCCGATCACGTTTTTTTTTGCTCCAGATCCGATTCAGAGTCATTTGATTTTAAGAATCTGCCGATACAGAGTCCTGATCCGATACTTTACAAATGCATTAAGAAAAGAGGAGAACACACTACAGCTGTCCTTTAAGTTTTTTTTAATCATTAATGCATTTCTTTCTTTCTGTATTTATATCATTTCAGGGATTGGACAGCACATGACAGCAACAGAGGAACTTTTTCTACAAAACACCTGTAGAGTTGCTGCACCTGTAAAAGTAGGAAGAGAAAGCAGATCATACCACGACTCAAGAAGACTTTAGAACCAGACGTTTGCAACCACAGACACTCATCCAGTGTGACAAACATGCTGCTTTCTAATGGCATTTTTGCTGTCCGTAGACTATTTCTTGGTTTCTTAATGTATATTTTAGTGTCAGCTGGCTTAGCGGATTTGGTACAGCAAACTGAGCAGGTTCTACACTAGAGACCACTGCAAATGTGTTTAAATAACAAGTGAACTTGGTCTTGAAAATGACAGAGGCCTCAAACAATTCTTCTGGAAGGTACGGATAATGTCAGGAATAATAATGCTCCGATTGCTTTAGGTGTGCAGAGATTTTCATGAGCACATGTTTTTATAACTTGGTTAAACAGAGGTTAAATATGTCCCCTTTAAGTGGGATAATGACATAAATAACAGATGATTTCAGTGTCATGTTTCTGTTTTTGGCACGTGGTGTGTGTTTCATCAGAGGCTGAAACAAACTGTGTGAGTGATGACGACAGACCCTCGGTAGGGGTGACAGGAGTCCTGTGCAATATAACCGTTATAGGAATGTGGTCAGTTACACTTTTCTCAGTGACATTCCCTCCTGTTGGGTCACAAGAACAGAACAGTTTGCTCTTGGCAAGAGAAACAGATTAAAATGAACCTCTGAGGATTCAGCAGGAGTTTGGACTGTAAACTGATGACTGGGGGGTTTCAGATATATTTAAGTGTTTGAGGAGAGCGTTCATTAGATTTGCTGTTTGGGTTTCTGTGTGCTAACACTGATTGGATCTGATTCTCTCACTCTGATGCAGTGCTGCCCAACAGGGAGCCATCTGCCATCCCATATGTTCACCAAGCAACTGAACAATGACCTGCACAGCAACCGCATGTGTGTGTTTGAGTGTGTGGTTGTTTAAAAGGTGAGAAACTAGAGAAGTGCATTCAACATTTAAAAATAATTAGGAAACAGAAAATAAAATGTTTGCCAGCATCGACGTGATCCAGAAAAATCAGTTTGATTGTAGAATCAACAAAAATCATTAAGAGCTGAAGCCATCAATCACTCATGAATTGAAATGAATGAAAGAAAGAAATAACTCAATCATTTTAAGAAATAGAAGAAAAGAAAGCCACTGATCTGTTTGATTGACAGAATTGATAACATGGAGCTGGTTGCTGATTGGTGAAGCTTACAGAACAGGAAAGTTACCTGGAGACAGGCCAGCAGCCAGTCACAGGCCAGGGCCTGAGGAACTATGTCTAAACTACAAACTGGGGTCTCATCTATCTGGAACACAAAGGAGCCGGTGTACAGTAGGATACACATAAAGTAACACGCGTTAGAACATCTGTTATTACAGCGGAAAATTCTGCTCACGATCATTCAATAAAAACACACAGTTCCTACTGCACTATGAAATAAATAATCACAACGTTTTAATTTGTTTCCTTTAAAACAAACAATACAACATAGAAAAAGTATTTGGAAATGTAAAAATTAAATTAAAAATCTTGTGAAAAACTGCAAAACTGTGCTCCAACATAACAATTTATATTTGTGAAGGGAACAAATTGAAGCATCCTCACAAACGTACAAACCACGACAGGTTCGCTCTGTAACATGACAAATGTGCAGCCCTAATGTAGAGCACAAAAATCCTCACAGATACTATAATCCTAAACATTTTAGGTGATATTTTCTTCTAATTGTACAACTGTATTACACAACCATTGAGAAGGCACACCAATAAGAAATTGACACAATTAACCTAAAGTACATTTAAAGTTTTACATTTTGCCAACTGCAAAAATCACCCATCCTGTCTTCTCTACAACTTTTAATTGTATGTATATCTGGATGAACCAAATAAAATATAGAGTTGTGCTGCAGTCACACACACACACACCTACATGCACATGCACACACACACCTACATGCACATGCACACACACACCTACATGCAAACATACACCTACATAAATGCGCACACACACACACACACACACACACACACACACACACACACACACACACACACACACACACACACACACACACACACGCACGTGCACACACACACACCTACATGCGCACACACACACACACACGCATGCACGCACACACACACACCTGCATGCACATGCACACACACACACACACACACACGCATGCACGCACACACACACACCTGCATGCACATGCACACACACACCTACATGCAAACATACACCTACATGCACGCACACACAAACACACACACACACACACACATACACACACACGCACGCATGCACACACACACACCTACATGCACACGCACACACGCACGCATGCACACACACACACCTACATGCACACGCACACACATGCATGCATTCACACACACCTACATGCACACACACGCACACCTCTACATGCACACGCACACACACACACATCTACATGCACACACACGCACACACACCTACATGCACACGCACACACACATACATGCACACGCACACAGACACACACCTACATACATATGGATACCTACATTCACACACACATGCACGCACACCCACCCACCCACACACACAGACACACACATCCAGCCACACACACAGACACACACACACCTACATGCACAAGCACGCACGCACGCACACACACACACACCTACATGCACACACACACACACACGCACGCACGCGCACACACGCACGCACGCACACGCGCACACACACACACACACACACCTACATACATACGCATACCTACATACACACACACATGCACGCACACCTCCACACAAGCACACACAAGCACACAGAGAACACATTCTAGGAGGTTTTGCATGACTACAGCTGCTATCTTGCACAGATAAAATTATACAGGTTAGAATCTCACAGCTACAGCTAGTACTAGTTTTGTTTTTGGCAGCATTCTGCTAACATGGGAGCAAAGCTGGCTGAACAAGAAGTGATACTGGCAGGTTGTGACAAGCTCTTCTTTTATATGCTGCTTGATGCCTCAAAACGCTGTACTGCTGAGCAAGGCAGGGGTGACAAAAGTGACAGCAACAGCCCAGAACACGACACAGAGGAATGCACAAACTGCTGCAGGAGAGTAAACATGGGTCCGATGAGCAAGAATAGCTCTGGTCTAAAACGTAAACGTCATTGCTTAATACCTGTTCTGCAGAGAAGGAATTATTGTTGTTTATTCATACCTGTGACCCTCCAGCAATGGGAATGATGCAGGTCAGAAGGTTTCCGATCACCGTTTCCAGCTGGGCTGACAGGCCATCTACATGGACCGTGTAGATCAGACTCAGGCAGTTCTGTACAAGTCAGGTGCAGACAAGGGTTTAAAGTCAACAGGACCCAGCACAAAGCTACAAATAATCCATTTGCAATTAAATGAATTCCAGCTTTTTCTATTAAACAAATGCAAAATGGTGCCAACACTAACTTTACCACAATTATCAGGCATTGAAGTGTTTTCTTAGCTTCATTCTAAATCCCTGGATCTGAACGTGAGGGGGAAACTAGCACCACATATGGAAAAGATGATCCCGTCGTACCCTAAACACCTCGGTGTAGTCTAGTCGAGACACCAGCACCAGGCTTTTGGGGGCAAAAACTTGAGCTGGTTGGACAACTGCCAGGTCCTCATCAGCTTCGTCCGCCTCACCGGCCTCATTCTTCTTCAGCTGAACACAACACAAAATCAGACAAGGCTGCAGTCTCATGAAACCAATGCATCGCGCAATAAATCAGTCAACTCAAATCACGATTATGAGCGTTTGGTTGTCTCTATAGCTTTAACTTAAATGATTTTTTTTCCACTCTACCTCGTGGTAACTAAAAAATAAACAACAATTATAGATATCTGCATGTAAGTTATGGGGAGATGTGTGTAAATTATGTGGGAACCCAAGATATACATCTGCTGCAGAGGCTACGATCATAAACAGACGTTAAACAATCAGCAGACATTCGCCTCACCTGTGGATTGTCCAGACTCTCCCAGAAAGTAAAGCAAGCACAGTAGTGACGCTCCGAGTTGATGTCAGTCAAAACCGCAACAAAGAAAGAGGCCGGCTGCCGCTCATGGACCAGCTGCCATCCGCTGGGCTGACAGAACTAGAGAGCAGGCAGGAAGTGGAGGTGATCCAGGGTGAAACAGGAACATGTCATTGAGGAAGTGAAAGCCAGAGGAAGAAAGGAGAAGAAAAGAAAAGAATAAACATTAGTATGAATACCAGCTTGGCAGCATAAAATATCTGTGGGTGAGACGTTTTCAGAGCAAGTTCTCCATTAGAACAACAAAACAGGTTCTGAAAATGTCCACGTGTTAAAACAAGTTCACCCTAATAAAAACTATACAATGTAACAGAAACATGTTTTTATGCTGAATCAGAGTCGAGCTGATGGTGGAATGCAACATCCAAATATTTGCTTTCACCATAAGAAAAGCTGCAGTGTGGACTGTGGAATGTAAGCAATAAAAAGTCAATATTAACAGTGATTTTAGGAATGATTAAACTGTGTGACTGGCATGAAGGCCAAAGATGGCATTTATTTTACAGTTACACTTGATTTATTGGTAGCTCTAATTGAGTTTAGTCCTGACAAATTCACTTTAGTTTTTTTTTATACCTCGATGATGCGATAAATATCCACCTGTAGTTGCTTCCTGAGAGAACTGTTGCAGGGTGCAAACTGACTTTTGCTTTTTCAACAGTAATTAGTTTTAAAACATCTTTTCACACAAACTCTACTATAATCCAACAAGCTAATCTATCCCATCCATCTTTCCATTTTCTTCAGCTTATCCAGAGTTGGGTCGCGGGGGCAGCAGCCTAAGCAGGGAGGCCCAGACTTCCCTCTACCCAGCTACCTGGGCCAGCTCCTCCGGGGCAATCCTAAAGTGTTCCCTGGCCAGCCGTAAGACATAGCCCTTTCAGCGTGTCCTGGGTCTTCCTTTAGGTCTTCTCCTGGTTGGACGTGCCCAGAAAACCTCACCAGGAAGGTGTCCAGGAAGCATCCTTACTAGATGTCCAAGTCACCTCAATTAGCTCCTCTCAATGTGAAGGAGCAGCGGGTCTACTCCGAGCCCCTCCCAGATCGTATCTCTAAGGGAGAGCCCAGACTCCCTGCGGAGAACACTAATATCAGAGAAGGCATTCCTCCCTTTTCCGACTCGTCTCAGATTTAGAGGAGCCGATTCTTACTCTAATCTATACCACTTATTGTTAATCCCACTAATTGTTGGTGGCACCACATTTTGTGTTATATATTTATTGCAACCTTTTCTTTCACACACTTTTTTTCCACTTCAGTATTTTTATGCAGCCTCAACTTGATGCTACAGAAATAAAGTTGAACTTCACAGTTAGTTTCATGTTTATTTCAACTTTTGTTGCAAGAAATGTACAAATTTGAATGCTACTTTGACTTCCTCCTGAGTTTCCTTCATTGTGAAGCTTTGAGCAGAATTTCAAAGGAAATCGGATAAGAGAACACAGGAAATATCTATATTCTGTGAAGCATAAGATAAATCTTATATTTTTATCATTTCATCAGCAGCAGCTCAAATAGATTCTGTGATTTGGCCTTGCCCCATTTAGTAAGAAAGAAGAGGCAATGGCTTCAAATCGTACACTTAAACAATTAAAAGGAAATTTGCACACTTTCCCCAGTGAGTCGTGGAGGATGGCTGCTTATACTGAGCCAGGATCCTCTGGAGGTTTCTTCCTGTTAAAAGGGAGTTTTCCTCTCCACTGTCGCTAAATGCTTGCTTGGTATGAGGATCGCTGTAAAGACTGGCACTAGTCAGTGACTCGATGCAACCCACTGGGTTTCTTATGTAGGAAACTTTTTACTGATTTGCTTAATGAACTGACCTGTATTGTTTACTGTGTGAAGTGCCTTGAGACGGCTCTTTTCGTGATTTGGCGCTATGTAAATAAACTTGAATTGAATTGAAAGCTTTTCAGATAATGAGAAAGTAAAGATTGTTGCAATACTTAAATAAAGTTCATCAGAACAAAAACATGCGCTCCTCACCAGGCTTGAAACCTAGGTTAACACAAACTCTACATTTAAAATTATATAAAGTATATGAGAATACCTCATCTTATTGATTTGTTGTTAACCTGTGATTCAGCAGCTAACAGAAGTATAATAAAAAAAAGGTTATTCTGCTTTACACGACAATATAAAACCCCTTCAAATACCACTTTTAGGACAGGTCAGCAATGTCTTCACCCTGTTTGGTTTATGCAAAGACCAAGGCCATGGTCAACCTACTGCTGTTGAGGCCTCTGAGCCAACAAGTGAGGAAGAGATAGAAAATATTTGGTTGAGACATGATGGGTAATCCAGTGTGACGTGTAGATGAGCGATGGTCACCCTTGGGTTGATCTTGGTTCTATTTAGGTCTGATCAGCTGCAGATGCAGAAGTTTCAGGAGGACTGAACCTCTTACCCTAACAGGCTAGTAGTTTCTTGTTCTAGCCTCTATAATACACAGGAACATGAATGTGACCACCAACTCACCAGCTCTACGCCTTGTGGGAATGGGCTGTCCTCCCAGTCTTTCTCAGGAAAGCGTTGGAGAATGCGACCTTGACCCTCACCCTCCACTGTAGGGAGACAGAGAGGGACAAACCAGAGGTTAGTTTGTGTTGAATGCGTTGTTTTTGTCTTTTTGGTTCAACAAATAAGCTTCTTCAATTTCTTATGTCATTTATACAGTTTATAAATCGTTCAGTTATTTAGCTCTTGTATATTGACACAGTTATGTGCTTATTCAATTATTCCTGTGAAAAGAACATCATTGTTTATGTTGTACTTTTATTTGCAACAATATATGTAATAGCCAGCATTTAAAACATCATAGGGTTTCTTTTAGCTGGATAACTTGATGAAACTGCTGAGAATGTTTGTTTCTTAGTTGTTGCTGTCCCGAGCTCACTAAAAATGTTAAAATACATCTTAATGAAACTATCTTAAAATTACTAAAAGAAGAAAACCTAATGAAATATAGCAATACATAACATGGCATAACTCCAGAATTCAACTTCCAGCAAATGCTGCATTCATACTTTTCTCTCCATTTAGATATTTTAAACAATTTTTCTTGATTAAGGTGGAAATTGTGCACAGAATTATAGATCAACCGGGAGTTACGTCATAAAGCAAGAAAAATTCTCACAAAATGAAGCACGGACTATGTTGTCTTCTATCAACATGTAAAATAATAGTTCGGCATCTGTAAATTTTGTTAATTAGCAGTGACAGCCATCTTGAATTGGACTAAATTAACTATCTTCATTTAGACCTAATGCCAATACTAGCGCTTCCACCCTTGCGACCTTCAACTGTGTTCCAATCCAGGGGTACGAGTGTGTAGGGCAGGGCTATTCAAGTTCGGTCATCGAGGGCCAGTATCCGGCACGTTTTAGTGGTTTCTCTGGTCCAACTCACTAGACTCAGTGGTTGGGTCACCTGTGCAGCAGCTCATCAGGATCTGCAGAAGCCTGTTAATCACCTGCTGATTGAAATCAGGTGTGTTGAAGCAGGGTTAAAACTAAAACGTGCTGGATACCGGCCCTCGAGACCTGGAACTGAATAGCCCTGGCGTAGGGTGTCTCGATCCTCAAGTGCAGAAGTTGACCACACCCCTTTTGCACCCTTGATCCACACTAGGAATCTTATTACCCACAATCCATTGCTGCGTGGGATATTTTGAGAAGGCGGCGGAACAATGGCTCAAGTGCCTTATCTGAAAATATGTATTTTCATTCAAATTAAGTTACTTTAAAGACAGTTAATTATATTTATTCATACTCTGAATGTTTTAGACTAGGAGTTAATGTAAACTGCAGTGAACGAAAATGTTAAGAAATTGTTTGAAAGTTATTTATAAAGATTTTTTAAAAAGTAGCTCAAACAGCAACCAGCACACATTGTGGTTGATGACGCAATACTCACTGTCCCAATTTGGCAATAATTTGCACACTTGTGAACTATGAAGCCTTATTGGGATTGGGGCCTTACATTGTATGAGTTTCATTAAATCCCAGTGGCTCATGAGATATTTTGCTGCAACTCCCCCACACACATTCACAGTTAGCTCATATTTAGAGGTCATTGTTTGTATGATGCTGCTGCAGCGGTTCTCCTTCTGATTAGTACTGCTTAACAACAGTAATGGCAGCAGAGGAAGAGTTGTAAACTGAAAAAGTGATTTTAAGTGGAAACATGATTAAACTTGCAGAAATTTCATGTGATTGTTAAACTGATCTGATTTTAACGGTACAAAGACATAATTAACCAATGCTTCGAGTTTTAATTCCAAATCAGAAATGCACACAGAACTGTTGAATCCAAATCAAATCACAATGTGCACATGTATGTCTGTAAATCAATACTAATTTGGTAATCTTCACATTCCTAGGACATTTACAACAAGAAAATGGAGATATTAAGTGCCAGGTGAGTCCCTATGTGAAATGTGTTACAAAGGTTTGTTCCTGGTTAATGAGGCCACATCTACTTATTAGGATGGCCTATATTGGCCAGCACAATGCAGCACAATGATGTAACAAAGACCATGTTCTGTTACCAACACAAGCCCGCCTTTCAGCTTAGCTCTAGCTGAAGCCCTGCCGACTGCTTAAAGACAGCATTCATCCAAACAAAGAATACACTTAACTTCCCATTACAAAGGACATGCATCCAGAATGAAATGGTACAAAGCCAAATGACCAAATGCTAAGGAGAGATGGTCACTAGTGCTCAGACCGACCCTAAGCATGTAATAAATAGAGTTAAGAGAAAACAACAGAGGCTGTGTGCATTCACCACAGAAACTGACAGAGGAACAAATACAGAAACAGAAAGTAAGACAGTTTCAACATCTCATAAGGATTTGATCAGATCTCTCCCTATGCAGTGCCCAAAAGGAAACACAAGCACTTGTAAGTTTGTAATTCTTAGATGACATTATCTATGGTAAGAAAATTATTTAACTTCAGTTTTGATTCGACTACTTTTTATTCTTCAGAATCAGAAGGGTTTAATTGCCATGTGAGAACCACAACTTTAGGAAACTGCTGCAGAACTTGATGTGAGAAAGATGAAATAAATGAGCAAAATCAGAATTAACAAATAAACACAATTAAATGATAATACTATAGGGTGGTAATAATTAGAGAAGCAGGTACTATTTACAAGCCCTTGTAGGTACTGGTCAGAGCGGATCAGTTCAGGTGCAAACACAACACAGGGTCAGGTGACTGAAACAAAGCAGCTGGAGTGGGCAGGTTGAACTTCTTCAGCTGCCTCAGGAAGTACATCCTCTGCTGGGCTTTTCTTTTGACGGAGGTGATGGTGGGCTCCCACTTGAGGTCTTGGGAGATGATGGTGCCCAGAAGCAACATGAGTCTACCATTATAATGGGAATGTCAGACAGGGTTATGTGGGGGAGAGTGGGGTCATGTGCTTCCTAAAGTCCACAACAAACTCTGCTGAGACTCAAAGCAAACTTTATTTAAAAAGAGAAAACTATGAAGTCCTGAACGTCAGTGTTTTATAAGTTCTTGTCTTGATTCATTACAAATTTAGTATTATGAAAGAAAATGTTCAAACACTTCACAAAGCATTAAGTGGGCGTTAACAGAAACCATTTCCTCCTTTGCAGAGCTACTTTCAATGCTGTGCACACACACACATTTAAGGACAAACTAGTGTGCTGGAAGTGAAACAAAGAGCTAATTACCACAGGCCCTAGAAGCAATAAACTATAAATGTTTTTACACTTCACATGCATGCAGGGAGGAAGTTCTGACACACACAAACCTATATAAAGGTCACTGCATTAGATAAATATAGGCATTGTGCTTACTTGAAAGCGGTTAATTACATCAGAACCATGTGAATAATAAACCCAACACAAACATTTTTACTTTTTATTTATTTCTTTACAGTTATTCTGAACACACGTTTGTCACCTGGTTGTTGTCTTCAGGCATGACTTTACACATCTCACTCTTTCAGCAAAAATCAAAAGCAGTAAAACTGCATCCACTGTTTGGAGCTTTTGACCAAGTTATATTGTTATTTTGTAATCAAAAACATCCTCAGAGTGGTTTTTGGCTCATGCATGCATTCTGCTCTCTGAACTCCTGTTTCCCTTGAGCTCTGCAAAGCCATTTTAAATGACTTGAAGTGGCACAGTTCGCATCATCAATGCCCTGTCCCACCCCATTCAGGAAGTGTTAAATTCAGATCCCTCCTCCTTTGGAGTGTAAACTAGGGCTGAAACGAATACTCAAAAAATTTATTTAAAATTGTTATAAAAAACTGTTTGATATATACAGGTGCTGGCCAGTAAATTAGAATATCATCAAAAGGTTGAAAATATTTCAGTAATTCCATTCAAAACGTGAAACTTGTACATTATATTCATGCAATGCACACAGACCAATGTATTTCCAATGTTCATTACATTTAAATTTGATATTCATAAGTGACAACTAATGAAAACTCCAAATTTGGTATCTCAAAAAATTAGAATATTCTGAAAAGGCTGAATATAGAAGACACCTGCTGCCACTCTAATCAGCTGATTTACTCAAAACACCTGCAAAGGCCTTTAAAAGGTCCCTCAGTCTTGTTTTGAAGGCACCACAATCATGGGGAAGACTTCTGACTTAACAGCTGTCCAAAAGACAATCATTGACACCTTGCACAAGGAGGGCAAGACACAAAAGGTGATTGCTAAAGAAGCTGGCTGTTCGCAGAGCTCTGTGTCCAAGCACATTAACAGACAGGCGAAGGGACGGAAAAAATGTGGTAGAAAAAAGTGTACAAGCTCTAGGGATAACCGCACCCTGCAGAGAATTGTGACGACAAACCCATTCGAAAATGTGGGGGAGATCCACAAAGAGTGGACTGCAGCTGGAGTCAGCGCTTCAAGAACCACCACGAGGAGACTCATGAAAGACATGGGATTCAGGTGTCGCATTCCGTGTGTCAAGCCACTCTTGAACAAGAAACAGCGCAAGAAGCGTCTCGCCTGGGCCAAGGACAAAAAGGACTGGACTGATGCTGAGTGGTCCAAAGTTATGTTTTCTGATGAAAGCAAGTTCTGCATTTCCTTTGGAAATCAAGGACCCAGAGTCTGGAGGAAGAGCGGAGAAGCACAGAATCCACGTTGCATGAGGTCCAGTGTAAAGTTTCCACCGTCAGTGATGGTGTGGGGTGCCATGTCATCTGCCGGTGTTGGCCCACTCTGTTTCCTGAGGTCCAGGGTCAATGCAGCCGTCTACCAGGAAGTTTTAGAGCACTTCATGCTTCCTGCTGCTGACCAACTTTATGGGGATGCAGACTTCACCTTTCAACAGGACTTGGCACCTGCACACAGTGCCAAAACCACCAGCACCTGGTTCAAGGACCATGGTATCCCTGTCCTTGATTGGCCAGCAAACTCGCCTGACCTTAACCCCATAGAAAATCTATGGGGTATTGTGAAGCGGAGGATGCAATACGCTAGACCCAACAATGCAGAGGAGCTGAAGACGACTATCAGAGCAACCTGGGCTCTCATAACACCTGAGCAGTGCCACAGACTGATCGA